AATAACAAAATAACAGTCTATTTTAATCTCTAAACGAAAAAAATAGTCGCAAAAAATAGGGGGAATAAATGTTATAGAAACTAATTAGACATTGTAAACGAATGAATAAAATCAAATAGCATACAGAAGTTCAATATCAAATAGTTAATAACTTTGAAATATGAAATTTCAAGAAATAAACCCAAACCCATTGTTGATAGCTTAGTGGTTGAGACAGTTATATTCCAACCATTAGATGACATATATAGACTCTTCGAATTTTTGTCAGGTTAGTCAACAAGATGGCTAGTATCACCGCTTATCACATTTAAAAAATTAGGCCATGAATTGACTACTTGGTTATAAGTCTACGAAATACATTAATCGTTTGGTTATATTTGTTCTATTCAATTATACATTCTGTGTTTAAATTTTAACTTGTTATTATTAGTAGTAGTAATGTGGTGTGAGCTACTTATATTCACATAAGTAGTATCAAACGATGGTCAGGCATACAATGTATTTCAGTAGAAGATCGAAAAGGAAAGAACGAGAACGGAACGCAATTGATATAAAAATGCATAAACAATGAAATTAGAGACGATTGACTGATATTTCGAAAAGAAACAATCAAATTTGAGACAATGGATTGATATTTTGCAAATAAAGTATTTACTGTATAGTTCCTTAAGTTTTAGTCAGATTTTCTGTTGTCCTCACTTATGTTCTCGTTCACTACAGTAGTATTTGTATTATTTTTTCTCCCATTATTCCAATATGATCGGTAACAACTCAAGCTAATGTATATCTTCCCCAGGGTTCTATGTTATCTTTTATCTAACTTGGTTGTATGATTTAGAAATAATTTCATTATTATCCATAATGTTTCTTCGCCAAAATCACTCATACAAATCATATTCATTATTACCCAAGATACACACAGATATATGTATACATGAATCTTAGTAATAATCTTCTTTTTTTTTGAAAATTAACAGACCAAATATAACAATTTTTCCTTAAATTATATTAATTTGTTTATGTGATACAAATCCATCACCTCGTTTTATACATAAAGAATATTTATATGTAAGTGCTTATTGTAATTGTGTGTGTGCATGTAGAGTGGGGTTGGGGTAGGGTGGGGGAGATTGTGTAAATAAGCGTAGTAGCAAAACTGGAAAAATGAGAAACGATATATATATATATATATATATATATATATAGAGAGAGAGAGAGAGAGAGCGATAACCCAAATGTAAACTTTAGATTATCACTTTATTTATCGATTGACTGTATAATTTACAGTTTAATTGTCCAGTTTATATTACTATAGATTGACGATATATATATATATATATATATATATATATATATATATAATCAGTAATATGTGATTTATAAACACAAGAATAGAAATTTAAACAAACAAAAAGAAACTTCTAGAACAAACATCTTTATGATATATTAATCATTAAACTTGATTTTGTAATACATTTTCCCAATCTCTTTTACTTATAATTGACTTTTAGAAATCTGAAACCATAAAATATTGTTACTGAGTACTTTTCATAGATAAGCTCACGTAAATATGATAAATATTTATTTACATAACAGATAAATGGACAAATAGGTAAACTGAAGTATATGCATTCAGAATTCCAAATCGAATTATATTATTTTTGATCGAGACTATGAGTCGATTGATGTTAGACCACTATTAAAAACCTGGAAGCACTGGATGGCCGTTTCGTCCTATTGTGGGACTCCTCAACAGTGCGCATCCACGATCCCGCTCGCTGGATTCAAACCGTGACCAGTGGAGCTAATCCGTGTCGGGTAGAGACAGGTATTTACCTCAGTACAATAGAAGATGGTCGGGCGATTTCGCGGATTGGTTGATATTAGACATTAGCACCGTTGGATCGCTGCTGGCTCAGTGGTCTAGAGTTTAAGCGCTCGAGCAGGAAACTAAAGGCCTTGGGTTCGAATCCCGCCGGTGTGGTCGTGAATGCTCTCTGTTGAGGAGTCCCAAAATAGGACGAAATAGCTGTCCAGTGCTTCCAGGTTTTCAATGGTAGTCTAACTTCAATCGATTCATCATCTCGATCAAAAACTTGATAATCTCCACAACCTTAAACTGAGAATTATATTCAATAGGATTTCCATATTACGTAATAGATAACAGAGTAAAGAGTCAAAGTTTAAACTGTATAGAGTACAAAAGTAAAGAATTAATCAATATGGGCAACAACAAAACAGATAAGGATTAAAGGGTAAAATGTTAAACTAATACTTAATATTTCACAGACCATAATCAAGAAATTTATATGATTCTACATATTAATAATTTCTTAAATGAATATCATATCTATTATTGACTTAATTCTAGCTTTTGTACAAAATTACTTCTCCACTTTCAATTAAATAGCTTACTAACAAAAGTGCTATATTTCATTATATGAAACAATTTAAATAACTTAGATACCATTATGTATACCATGTTTATCAGTTGATAAACATCTCTTTATTTAAATTTTATGTTACCTTATTCTAATCAATTCTTTTACTATACTGATATTTCTGTTTTAAAACTCGAGAGATAAATTAACAAGTGATTTCACAAAAATCAATCAGTTCTTCTCCTACTCCAGTTACAGCAATCTATATAATACGATGAAATTTTTCATTTCATCCTTCATATTTTACAGTTGTAACCATATGAATACTAACTTCGCCTAAAGCCTATCTCAGTCTACTACCGGTTCCAAGCCCAGATAAAAAAGAGAAGGATTTGGCATAGGGTTAGTGACCGCATCCTATAGAAAACTAATTTGTTAAAAGAACACTAACCAGAAAAAAAATATATTCAAACCATTTACTATTGGTAGCTTATACTCCATCGAGAGTAACAGACGTTAGTTAGTAAGTAACTAAGTAATCATGAGTACTATTATTGTTATTCATATTTTCATTATAAACCAATAAATGTTCGTAAATATTTTAATTTATAATAGAAATAATTACTGAAAATTGTCAAATGTATTGATTCAGTTAACTGTTTTCCTAATAAATAAAACAGGAAACTACAGACTAATTTTGTAACCATACATACATACAATAGAAAATAACTATATACATATATACATATAATCTCTTTTTTATTTTGTTGATCATCTAATGATAGATTAACAGAAAAGTTTCGAATAAAGAAATGCCAAAATCTTAGAAATGTCAGCAAAAAAATTTGATTTTTTTCCTTTCTTGTAAAGTAAACTCTTACAAGACAATAACAAAATGTACACGGGAGTATTGTGTTTACATATAAACTGAAGAAATGATTATATATATATATATATATATATATATATATATATATATATATATGTCAATTAGACTTATAACCAATTCCTTAGGAAAAACAAAACATGATGGCGTTTAAAGTGAACGGTATTAGGTTCGAGTCCCAGAGTAAACATCAACTCTAAGATGCAAGTATATCTAGCTGATGAATTCTGAATAAGATAAAACATTTGTTTTAAATTTCATTGCTAACCACCATTCATCTTTGCTCAAAAATATTAGATTTTGAATTCTTAAACTTCAAGTTTATCGATACTGATTTTTGCCCGTTTTTTCTTTAGCCTAAACCATTGCTCATATAATTTAGTTAGAAAATAGAAAAGATCTAATACTAATCATTGTATGCATTATAATATACTAAACTAATTCTGATTAGTTACCGTGTTAAACAGATAATTTATTATAACAAATGTCATCTATTCTAGCGTATAAAATCTGGATAAAGAATTAGGTTTTATTTCGTCTTCATTGCATTGATCGATAAAAAGCTTGTTCAATAAGAACCAACAAGTCTACAAGTTACATATATCTTTATACATTAATACTATACGATCCATCAGTAGAAGTGTTTCAACAAATGTTAACCAATTTTTATTATGAATATATATACATATTTATTTAATATCTACCATAAATGCTGGTCAGCGGCCTATGCTCCATTGAGAGTAACAGGCTTAAGTAGGTAAGTAGGTACCATAAAATAAAACTATTGAGATGATAAATAATAGTTTATTACATAACTTAGAATTGTTATTTACATTCATTGTGAATTTAAAAAAAAAAAACAATTTTTTTCCATCTATGCTGACATATAATTGTTACATTGAGAAATACTAAGAAAAGTTACTAGTACTTGAGGTGAGATTATAATTTATGTACAAACCAATCAGGTATAAGATAACAGTTCTCGGATTTTGGCGCGAAGTTCATTCATTCATTTGGTGAAATAGAGTTTTGGCATTATAGCTAATGTCAGTTTGTGATGAAAACCGTAAATCTAATTTCTAACCTCAACCATCAACTGTAAATCATAATTCTAAAATGTGTTGTTCAGTGACTAAAAAAATCGTACGGAAAATGATTTCAATTTTATACGTTTCAACTATATGAATTTAACCAGATAAGCAAGCCAATGATATATTACCATGGTTGATCTAGTCTAAAGAAGAAAATTTCATTACATTATTAGAGTTTAGTGAAGTTATCAAACTGTTGTAAATAGACTTGATTAACAGATTATTGTTCAACAAATAATTTACTTTTATGGATTAATATACATTTCCTCGTATCAATAGCTTAATACATGTTTTCCTTTGGACATTGATATACTCTGAAATTGATTTATAAACGTCATATTAGCAATATACCTGGGATAATATCAATATAAACACTTTAACCTCAAAAAAAAAAGCAAAACAGTGGTCCAGGAGCTAAGTGTTCACTTGTGAGACCGATAAGTTCTGGGTTCAAATCGGAATCGTGGATGCTCACTGGTGAGGAGTTCCACATTAGGATGAAACAGTCGTCCAGTGCTTCCAGATTTTCCATGGTAGTCTCACTTTAATTGACTCATGAATTCAACTATAAAACACTAATACTTTATTAAATTAAAATAATACATAACAAGTATTATATTTCTAAATTAATAATTAACTTACTTTATGTGCATTACGTCTAAAAAATGCTTTACATGATTCACAAGTTAATTGACCAAAATTATGATTTACAGCTCGATCACCGCAAACTTTGCATTTTTTTTCATTAGAATGATTATTGCTATTATTATTATTATTATTAACATTATTAGTAACCATGGTGTTATTACAATCAGTATGATTGTTCGATTTTAAATGTTGTTGGTGATAATTCAAACTAGTCAATTTATAATCTTGATTTGTATAATATGATGATGAAGGTGAAATATTTGTTGTAGTTGTTGTTACTAATGATGATTTTGCTGTTGCTGGAGTTATTGTTAATGTTTCTGTGCATAAAACCATTGAAGATGACAATGATGATAATGATGAAAATGATGAAGATGAACAAGAGGACGACGATGAAGATAATGATGATGATGTAGCTGGTGAATAATTTGGTTGAAATATTGTAGGATAAATTTGTAATGGAATTATATTTGTATCATAATGATGATGATTATTATTGGTAGCAGTAATAGTAGTTTCATTATTGTTGTTATTATTACTATTATTATTACAGTAGATATTATCAATTAAATCATTTGATATCACAGTATTCTCAGATAAATGTTCAGATGTTTCAAAATGATTTGATTGTTCAACTAATGGTCTCATCATAATCACATCATTATCATTGTCTTGTACATGAATATTTATACTATCAGTCATATTGGTTGAGACAGTCTCAATTGGAACAGGAACAATATTATCTATTTCTGTATTATTTACATTTATATTTGATAATTCATTACAATTTTTATTCATATTATCATTATTCTCATTATTAATTATTACTGGATAATTATTATGATTATGTGTTGTAATTAGTTCATCTGATATATAATGTAATTGTTCTTCTAATTGTATTTGTGAATGTTCTTGATTTAACCATATCACAGATTGATATGATTCAGGTATATGTGATTGAATACATTTTGAATTTGAATATTGTATATCGGATAATGTATTTGTCGAGGGATTTGATAAATAATAATTAGATTCTGAAAATATTGATGAATATAATTCATTTTTTTGTTGTTGTGTTAATATATAATCACTATGAGGAATTGTATTTGTAGAAATTTCATTAGAAATTATATGATTATGATTAGAATTGTGTAATTGATCTGTTGATTGATCCATGCTATAATGTTGATGTTGTTGATCATGATGATGATGATGATGATGATGATGAAGATGTTGAGATGGATGAGGATTTGAAGGAATTGGATTGGGAATTATTAAATTTGATTGTTCAAATGCATAAAAAGGATTATGACCAGGTAATTGTTGTGAAATATCATTGAATTGATTAGATAACTAATAACGAGAATAAGAATAAAATATAAAAAGTTCTTTATTAAATATATTTGTCCCCCAACAATGAAAATAGTTGCATTTAAAAAATATTAAGCTTTTAATTATTTACTAACCACTTATATGAATGAATGTATTTAATTAAGATTTTAGCATATTTCGAGTATACATTTTGTCAGAACGTAAAACCGTAGTCAATCTGTAGAACCATTGTATAATGAAAAGGTTTCTTCTCCGTTATTAAATCAATACATTAAGAAATAATTAAGAGTATGCACGAGATCAGACAGTACATAGTAATTGTGTTTCTATGGTTTGCACCATAGATTGATCCAAAGTTAAACAACTTATATATACTAGGAAGCACTGAATAACTGCTTCATCTCAATACAGGATTCTTCAACAATGCAACTGTATGAACCATCAAAGATTGAATCAAGAACCTTTGATTTCATCCATGGGCTCCTAATTTTTTAGACAATTGATTCAGTACCAAATGGTTTATATGTTCAACCTCAGTCAATTCTCATTTGGTTGGTAATTGATACAAATTTTACTTGGCTAGACTATATTAGTCATGGATTCTTAAAAGTACTGAACAACTATCTAGTGCCTCTTAGTTTTCCATAATTATTCAACTAAGACCAATCTCTATAAGTCCTTTATGATTATAGTAATTTTTTCCGTCCTATGATGAGAATGAAATGGCCACCACACTATATTGTTTAAGCAATGAATGAGATCTATTGTATCACTGAAGAAAGAAATAAACATAATTCAAACGAGAGAGAAAAAAAAGTTGTTTCCGACACTATTTAGCAAGGTGTACTGTACAATACTATTTATAGTTAAATTATCTACTAAAATAGTAATCTATAAAAAATCTTTTTTTTTTCAATGATACAACATCTTTCTATTTTATTGTAAATTACTGGGGTTTTTTTTAGGGCGAGACTATAATTTATGAATGAACCAATCAGATTTATAATAACAGGTCACGGATTTTGGCGCGACATTCATTCATTTATTTGGCTAAATAGAGTTTTAGCATTATAGCTAATATCAGTTCATGATGAAAACCCTAATTGTAATGCTTAACCTTAACCATTAACTGTAAAGCATAATTCGAATTCCTCACATTAATTTATAACACTGATCTGGTCCTAGTTAATAGGTGGATTCTCTCAAGGTCAGTTTAGCGTCACTCAAATATCGTCTATAAATTATAGTCTCACCTTTTTGAAATAAATAAATTGACTAAAAATAGAAGTATAATTAAATGAAGTTGATGAGAAGGTTTCTTCTCTGAATGATTTTTATTCCTTACCTCATTTATCATCTTCACAAAGGTAACTTTTCAGTTTTCTTATCACAAGTCGTAACCTGTAGTTAGTAAACTTTTATCCATCTGAATATGATATGGTGACAACGTCACCAGTCTTTTTGTAAAAATTAAATGGCTTTTATAATTTTTCGGCATATGAAATGCCTAAATAGTAATAATAGTTCTTTAATAAATACTTTATACAGAGTTTTATGAAATGTCAATATATCACTTTGTCACAAAGACTGCTTAACATATATTCCTAGGTCAGGATGTGATAACTGTTGTTCTAAAGCGTTTATGACCTTGTATTTCCATCACCTTCCTGAAATATTTACTCTGGTTATTAAAGACTCTTCTATGTTTCCATTTTATGCTTCTCAATCTATATATATATAGTTACAGAATGCATACCAATTTACAAGCATCATCAAGTGGATACAAAATGAATATAACATTGAAAAAGAAACAAATTAAAGCATATTATTTGAAAAGACAGATTTCATAAAATAATGTAACTAAACATGGTGTAAAGTATAGTACACCAACAAAAAATTCATTGTCAATGATGACATCATTTAAGAGTCTTGTTTCAGTATCTGTTTATATACCATAATAGTCATTAATATTGTTAATATATTAATTATCTTTAATAAGTAACGTCAAAAGAACGTTAGTATAGAAAGATTGTGATATAATTAAAACTATCTAAAACAATCCAGTACCCTTACTTACTTCCTTATTTACTTACGCCTGTTACTCCCAATGGAACATAGGCCGCCGACCAGCATTCTCTAACACACTCTGTCCTGGGCCTTCATTTCTAGTTCCATCCAATTCTTGTTCATTTTTCTCATGTCAATCTCCATTTCCTGGCGTAATGTGTACTTTGGTCTTCCTCTTCTCCATCCTTGGCCTTGAGGATTCCATGTGAGGGCTTGCATTGTGACGCAGTTCAGTGCTTTCCTCAAGGTTTGTCCTATCCACTTCCAGTGATTCTTCCTCATTTCTTCCTCCACTGGAATCGAATTTCTTCTCTCACACAATAGGTTGTTGCTGATAGTGTCTGGTCAACCGATCCGAAGTATTTTGTGTAGACAACTGTTAATAAACACATGTATCTTCTGGATGATGGCTTTTGTAGTTCTCCAGGTTTCCACCCCATACAGTAGAACTGCCTTGGCACTTATTTTGAAAATTCTGAACTTCGTGTTAGTTGACAATTGTTTTGAGTTCCATCCAGTACCCAGTATTATTATAAATTTAATGCTTTTTCTAGAACTTTCTAGTTACTTAACAAACAAATCTCTTAGTGATCAATCATGTTTCTATATAGTAAATAATGCTAACCTGAAGTATAGTTTTTGTTATATGGAGGTTTAAACGTTATGTTTAAGGTTATTCGAATGGACATTGGTGAATTGAACCACTCTATCATGTCTCAACTTCATTTGAAAACAGTTTGATGAAACTATCATTTGAATTATTATGGTGATGAGGTGATATTTATCCCATAATGAATACTAACTTACAATTTTTTTTAAAAAAATTACTGTAATTTATGAAGATGAATTAAATATTTTAATAATGTTTATCATGAATTTTGTGCTGATGATGTCATTCAGAAGAATGATGAAAGCTCTGCGACCAAACCATTTAGCTCACAGAACAAAACTCCATCAAAATCATCCACCTAAGCTAAAAATCTTTTCCACCATTTCAAAAAAAACGGTCAAAATAATTTTATCCATGTCTAAACCTTCTCAACAGTATATGCATATGACCTAGCCAAAAATTTAACCCAGAAACTTATAGTCTTTGTAGTAAGTATAATTATCTATCACAAACCTTTTTCATTAAATTATCAACCCCCATGATGTTTTAGTATTTATTTTAATTCCCTACTCAAATTATCAGATTCATATTGTTTTTGTTTTGATAAGTTCCAAATAACATAAAACCTAAGTCCAGAATCACCTGACAACTACCTTCAACCATCACATTGTATTCTATTTATCATACATAATCATTTCCAACGTAATTACATACCGTTATTATGGGAATGTCATCACTATTTGCATTCAAATTTACCAATAACAAATTAATTCATCGGATCTTTAAAATAATCAGCATGTACACACACATAACTTTTAGAATTATTCTGTTCAGACAAATAGAAGATTGATAGTTTAATTGTTAATTTCTTGCTGGCGACCACTCAATATTTGTCGTCACAATAAACCAAGAAGTAAAAAAATAACGGAAAATTGTTGAAATACTTTGTACTGAGAATTCTATATTGTACCAAAAGTATAATATTGAGTGAAGCTAACAATAATAAATGACTAGTCAGATAATATTATGGGATTCTTTGGTAGTGCACCTCCACGATGTTCTCGTCAATCATAGAAGCTAATACTTTTAGTTTCACTCATGAACACTTAACCTATATATTAGTAATCTCGAGTTCAGTGGTATACAAATCTAATTTCAATTATTCCGCAGTATTTTGTGACTATTTTTCGTTATCTTCAATGAGTATCTTCTTCACAACTGACACGGTTGAACTATGGTTATCTAATTTAGATCAGTTTAGGTAATTAATAAGAAACAACAATCTACTTGACTTCCATACTGATTAATTGTTAACTTTGGGAAATCTTGAACCAAACTTTCTACTAAAATATTACAGTGATTCTTTTTGTTACAATCTTTTGGGGACGTTAGATCCCCAGAACTCAGTTGGAAAAGGACTTAATTTTGTAATTTTATCTAGAAAATTTGAATTTCTTTGTTTTTGCGCCAAAAGTGCTCTTGTCACCTTCATGTCGTATTTCCCACTTGGGAAATATCTTAAATGCTATTGTTCCTTTGTGTCTTTTAGTATGCTATTTAGTAACTCTCTCCAAGGATAGTTTTGTGCTGTATATATACGTTTTGATTTGTGTTTGTTGTTATCGTTCGTTTCTGGCAGTTTGCAGAATATACTTCCCCCATTCCAAGCTTGAACTTCTTCCTCTAGTTAGCGGGGCTGGAACACATCAAATAGCTAACTTATTAGTTTTTAATCACTGAGTCTTTGTTTCGTTCGCAGTCTAAGTGAACTCAAAACCGCTTCAAACCTAGCACAATGACAGATATTTTAACAAATATTATTTATTTTTTTTAATAAAACTAGCAGAGTTACTTTGTGTTGAGGTTTCTTTTTTTTCTAAGGTACAAAGACATAACTCAAATATGTATTCTTCCACTGTTTTTTTTTATCTTAAAATGTCATCTTTCTAGATGTGGTTCATAGAGTGCATTATATTAGTCTAAATCAATAGATGTCTTCTCACTTTATAAGCCCGAAAGATAAATAATAATAATAATAATAATAACGACATGAATAAGTAAACAGATAAACATTAACATGGTAATTGATCAGACTTTTTTTTCAAAACAAAAAAATATATTCAATAAACCATATTGGTACATAATAGTAATGGTGTTTATTAACTATTGCCTTTTTCATTTCTATCATTCTCTTCTCCTCCACCCTATCCCTACTTAATTTTTATAACATACATACAAAAAGTATGAGTTCATATCTAATTATTATCTTTCTTTTCTTTTTCTAGTTTACGTATGCACACGCACTTCTACTCATATTTTAACATATTTTACTAATACAAGTGAT